AGCCCCCGCCGCCGCCGCCTCCCGCCTGAATGTCCTCCTTGGGCACGGCCTTCTTGACCTCCACGCGGTGGCCCTGGATGGGGTGGAACTTGACCACAGCCGCCTTATCAGCCGCATCGTGGTTCTGGAAATAGACGAAGCCAAAGCCACGCTTCTTGCCACTTTGCTTGTCAGCGATGATCTCGGCCTTCTCCACGGGGCCGAACTGGCTGAAGTGCTGCACCAGGTCCCCCTCGCCCACGTCCCCCTTGAGGCCGCCCACGAAGAGCTTCTTCACCTTGGCGTGGGCACCGGGCTTGGCCGAGTCCTCCCGCGACACGGCGCGCTTCAGCTCCACCGCGTTGCCGTCCACGGCGTGGGGGGAGGCGGCCATGGCGGCGTCGGCCTCCTCCACGGCCGAGTAGGTGACGAAGCCGAAGCAGCGCGAGCGCTTGGTCTGCGGATTGAGCACCACCACGCAGTCGGTGAGGGTGCCGTAGGCCGCGAAGTGCTCCCGCAGCCCGGCCTCCGTGGTCTGCACGTTGAGGCCGCCGATGAACAGCTTGCAGAGCTGCGAGTTCTCCATGCCGGGGCCGCGCCCGGGCGTCTTCGTCCGGCCGGGGGGCAGCTCCGAGGCCTCCGCAGCCACTGCGGCCTCAGGCCCGAGCCGAGCCTGGTCCCAGCGCGGAGCGGGAAGGAGGGGGTGGGGGGGGGCTGTGCGCACACGGACACGCACAAAATGGCGGCTGCTCCTCCTCGGCGGCTCGGCCGGCGACTGGTGCCCACACAAAGGGGCCGCTGGGAATGCCCGCCCCCGGCGCCCCGGTGACCAATGGGCAGCGAGTCACGCGAAGGGGCTTGTGACTGACGGGCGCGGAGGGCGAACGGCGGGAAGGGGCGGGTGACGGGCGCCGCGGGCCGCCAATAGAGCGCGCGAGGCGGCCCACCCGCGCTGGACCAATGAGAGCTCGCGGCGCCGCGGCGGGGGCGGGTCTACGCCAATGCGTCAGCCGAGCGGGCGGGAGCCAATAGGTCCGGGCGCCGCTCGCTTCCTCCACGCCCCCTCCCTTCCCCCACCCACCCGCGCGCGTGCGCGGGAGCGTTTGAAAAGTGACCGTTAGGGCCGGCCCCGCCTCTTCCCGTGAGAGGAGCGCGCGCTTCTCGCGGCTCCTCGGGGGACGGGGCAAACATGGCCGGAGTAGGGCAGATGCTGCTTTTGTTGCAGATAGAAGAGTATGGAGGAGAAGCAGGAGCGGGGAGGTGGTCCTTTTCTTTAAAACAGTGCTCTGGGGCTTCAACGCGAGTTCAGTGTTGGGGTTGGGGTTTTGATAGCGTCAGGTAATAAATCATGTAGCACCTATTTCAGGGCGAGCAGAAGCGCACTTGATGGCTGAAAGCTGTCTTCAGCAACAGCTGAACCTCCTCCCGTTCCCCCTTCAGGGCACTGAGTACACATCGCGAATGCTAAGTGCAAGATGGAGACAGGGGCATGGCAGCCGTCCACAGACAGCGAGCGGGAAGCACCCAGCGGTGTTGGGGGGGCAGCAGCAACTGGCAGTGACAATGCAGGGCCAGGGTACAGCTGTGATCTGCTGCCTGCGCATCCCACACTCATCTCCGCCAGGGCCAGCCAGGAGCCATGCAGGCCTGCACAGCTGGGCAGGGAGCAGTCAGGCCCGGATCATTGAGCAGTGACAGCGCAGCGCTGCGATCCACTCCCTGCCCACAACTCCTGCCCATCGCAGGGGCGAGCAGGTAGCGGATCGTGGTTTGGCCCCACACTGTCACCGCCCCAAGATCCCAGGTCAGCCCAGCCGTCCACCCTGCCCAGGGCACTCCACTTAATGCCTGCTTGCAAAGTTGTATTATTTGCTTAATGACATAACACAACAGTCACTGTTTTTCTCTACTGCTACACTGTTACAGATGCTAGTTATCTGCTTATCAGTTAAAAGCATGATACTTCAGGGCATAATACCTCTGGAAAGTAAAGCAACTGTACTCTGTGTAACTGGGTCACTTGTAAAATTGACTGGCAGCCATCAAGTTTAAAGCTGCTAACTGCAGCTCTGAATTGACTTAAGATGCTGTCAATATCAACACTGTGATAAGAAGCATAAGGTACTCTGAGAAATAAGGGAGTAAGCCTTAAGAGGCCTGAAGAGTTCAGGGCAAGCTATCCCAGAACATTTACTCCAACTCAGTGTAAGGGACGTTCATTGGTGTCTATCCATAAGTCCATTACCTGATTCTGGTCCTAAGGCTATGGACTTAGAATACACTATATACCTCTCCATACCACTATTCCAGTCCTGAAATGTATCCCACCAAATCTCTGTGATCCCAGTTAAGCTGGAGTTTTGGTTGTGGTCTAAGAGTTTGAGGTTTCAGCAGTTTATGCCCCAAACTCCTGGCATTATAGTTTCATAGTTTCTAGGGTCAGAAAGAACCTGAGCA